TGTATCTAAAATGGCGGCGCAAGAGTTTATTTTCTCTATAATCAATATGACTACCCTGTGACGTCATTGTTCGAAATTTCGTCAAGCTACCTAATAAAATGGCTAATAAACGAAGCACTTCAATTAGTTTTTGATGAAACCACTGGCGTAAACTATAGCCATCAGAGCTGTGGGGGGGGGGGGGGGGGTGCTGGAAAGGGCATGGTCTATTATAATGATGTGATCTAGAATATAGCCTATTCATGAATTATTTAAATGGAAATAAAACAATCGGGTGAGCTTCATAAACTTACATAATATCACCTGCTTAACACGGTTCTGGATTTGAATATGCCGAAAGGTATAAAATTAAATTTTATTTATAATAGCTTCAAAGAATTTTCCTACCCATACTCACATTCACTCTCTGACTGTACACAAAGTTTATAAAACTCTTTGGGAGTTCACTCTGTTGATATTTTAATTATTATCTTTATTTCCTAAACAAGCAACGAATATTATTGCCTACCACAGATAGAAAGTAGGGAGAAGGCCAAAATGAATTTTCAATTAACAACCTAACTTTTGTCCTTTTTTCACTATTTCACTTTACTTTGAGTATTGTCACAGTATTAAGCCTATAATAAAAAAAAATAGAAAGAGTTGTGCTTAAGATTGCAATATAAGTAATGTTATAACCTGTTTCTAACGATCTAAGGACTGACTAAACTCCTAACTCCTAAACTGCAAACTGCAAGTGAAGCGTGCCGTGAAAGACCTGATGGGAATCCCAGGGATCACAGAATGTTTTAGAAATGTGAAGAGATGGAGACCAACTAGAGTCTAGCCATAGCACCAGTGCGAGAATATTGCGCCTGGTGCGCAGGTCGCTGGGCGCGAGAAATTGCAGCGAAACAAAAATAAATAAGTCATTGTGAAATGATAATATTGCGCGTCGCTATCGCTGCTCGCTGGGCGCGAGAAATTGCAGCGAAACAAAAACAAATAAGTCATTGTTGTGAAATGATACATTAGACAACTGCTTTCCTAGTTGATAACATGTTACAGGGTGATCCCTAGAATCGTGACACACCTCAAATCAATTTATTCAAATTGAATTAACACTGTACTGTTCATAATTATTACATATATATATCCCCAGATAGCACGAATATTCTCAGAATATTCTTACAAGCTACGAAAATGTCATCTTCTAGAATAATATTCTGAAGAATATGCATAGAAAGTTCTCAGTATGTTGCGAATATTTATGGAATGTTCCATGCGAATATTCTGATAGTATTACATGAAAGTACATTCCTAGAAGCTCCTGGGATATAATATTCCAGAATGTTCACTAAATAATATTTTCAGAATATTGTGAACATTCATGGAATACACTTTGCGAATATACTAATGATATTCTGAAAATATGTTCCAATGAGCTTCTGAAATGGAATATTCTAGAATGACAATGTTCAAATATACTTATTTCAGAATATTCTAACATAATGTCCTTAAAATGATCATAAAATATTTTCATCCTGCAACGAATATTCTATGAACATTCAATTTAATTGACATAGATACACAAGAATATTCTTTTCGAATATTCTGAGAATATACAGAATCGTATCAAATTATGAAATTGATGTTATTATTCATGTATTGATATACAAAGTGTTCCCCTTACCAAACCCATTATTATAATGGTTGTATATGCCACTAAGTGTTGAGATCTTCCCATTCATATCATTCATTAAAAAGGTCTGTAGCTCAGTGGTTAAGGTGACAGGTAAATAACTATGTAGAAATTTCCAAATGTCTCTCGAATTGTTTACTCAATAATTTTTCACTGCACATTGGACAAGTGGAATTACCTGTTTCTTTCATAGTATTTGTAGATGAATTGTTACATTTCTTTGTATGAATTTTTAACTCCCTCTGATTTATAAACTGTTGTCCACATCATTTATCACAGGAAAACACTTTTTCACTTTTCTTCGACGGGGCTATCTTTGTTGGATGTAACTTCAAACAATGAGTTCTGAGATTTTGAAAAGAACTGAATGTTTTCGAACATTCTGCACAACAGTTCGATTGCATTTTTAAAGTGTGAAACGCTAGACTTGGAGGTCAAACGATAAATGAGTACATATTCTGGAAACAGTTCGAATGGCAACCAACAAATCTCCTTCCCGTGATACATGATTCGCCGCCAATTAAGGGTATTGGGTATTCTTTTACCAATGATGATCTTTATTGTTTCGCTCCAATATTTGTCCCGCGCCGCACGGCCGCAACCCTTCTCGCCTCGCTTCTCGCGCTCGGCGAGCGAGCGAGCAAGCAACGAAATTTTCTGTTTCTCGCGCCCAGCGACCTGCGCACCAGGCGCAATATTCTCGCACTGGTGCTATGGCTAGACTCTAGTTGGAGACCACACTCGTGCTGCTTGCAGGGACAGGCGGACAGGGATGTCTTTATTATTATATCTTGTGAAATTCATCGATATTTTTAATGGTAAAATATATGATGGAATATTTTGATACGTGTCTACTTTATTTGGTACAGATATTTATTTGAAAAATACTGGGGAGGGGGAGCTGGAGAGGCCTAGGGGTGGCCTGGACCCCCCAGTCCCCCCCCCATAGTTACACCAGTGAGTTGAAGGTGTATGGTTTATTAAATTCACTGCAATTACTAAACAAACTTGAGGGTATGAACGATAACTTTGAGACATCACATGGTCGCGAATGCATTAACTTTGCATATGCGTTACGTCACGTGCTATCCCTAAGTTATCATGGTCAGACACAGCTTCGCGGATGATAGTACCCCACATACTGCCTTCTCTTCCAGGGTTCCAATACCAGCCAGGCAAATCAGAAACGAAAGAGGAAGAAATGTTGAAAACATGAATATGGACTTGGCAACAATTCTAGAATGGGGATCCAATGACTTGGTAGATTTTAATGCAAACGAAACACAAGCATGTCTTTTCTCTAGGAAAGCCGATCTCACTATGTCCAACATAAGCATGTCAGGAGTAACCATACCTTTGAAGACATCCATTTTGATGCTTGGTATTACTATCAGCAATAACCTTTCTTGGGAAAATCACGTGAGATCAATTTCTAAAGGTTTTTTGTTTCGGGCCAGGATCTATTTCACTTCCAGTCAGCTGCTTATGATCTATAAAGCACAGATCCGACCTGTCCTGGAATACTGTTCCCATATTTGGAGTGCAGCACCCAAACATACCCTGAATCTGTTGGATTCCGTTCAAAAAAGGGCGATTCGTCTCGTGGGTGATGCCTCGCTCACGAACTCACTCACTTCTCTGGAACACCGTAGACAAGTTGGCGATCTGGCCCTATTTTCTAGATATTTTTATGGACGATGATCTTCTGAAATATCAAGAATTGTTCCTCCGGCCATTGACTGTCCCCGCGAGATTGACCCGTCGAGTTGAGGCTTCGCACCCTTTCGTGGTCACTTTGGAGACCTGCAGAACCTCCAGAAATTTAAGAAGAACACCAATTCCTACTCTATTTCTCTTGGATCTCACGATGTTCTCGGAGCATTACAGGATATCCCTTTTCTTGGGAACCAGAACATAAAAAAAATGAGCTTATTTCTACTTTGAACGATAGAGAGGAAAGTTCTCTCCTCTTCCATCTTTGTCTTCAATGCTATCAACCTTGCCACATTGAAGTATATACAGGTCTGATAAATCTTTCCTTGTCTAACATCTAGTCTGCGCCACTGAACTATTTTCGATGTTGAAATGATGTGATATGTCTACGTCATTAATTATTTCAATCTGAACTGACATATCTCACTAGAACCATAGTTGAAAGTGAACAGAATCAGTTAATATACGTTCTTCCGAATGACGTTGATTAGGTACAATGCATGTCAACATTGGCAACTGATTCAGTTCAGATTATGTTCAACCTTCGTAATACTAAGTGGGGTAATTTTGTACCCCAAATTGGTATTATTTCGTGGTTTATGGCGATAATTTCTGTTGCGTATCAATATCCGATAATCCTCTCAAATATTATGCTCTTTCTATGTATTTTCTAATCGTTACATAGAATATCAAACGAAAAAAACCATGCCATTCAGTATTTTCAGACGTTCAAAGTAGATGGGGAAAAAAATACCCCAGCTAGTAATGTACGTACTCGGCGGAAATCTGTAACAGACAAGTTGATTCCTGTCTTTTTTCGAGTTCAGATTTGTAGAATCTCTTTCGCTCACATTGATATCGACTCTCATAGTGTGAATACCAATCTGCTTGGTTATTTGTGTGTTAGCGTGACCATATTGTTACGGTCGTTCCTGTGTTAGGTCCAGTAGTTCCAGCAGGTGAAAGCAGGACATCTCTAGACGTTGTAACTCTTTGTGCTCGGACAAATGATCGGTTAGTAGGTAATAATATGTATTTGCTATCAACCCTTTCAAGTTAATCCGGTACACCGTATTCTAATGTAGATATTGTGCCTAATTTCCGAAATGAAGGTTTATCGAACCTGTCCACAGGTAACTAATCCTTCAAGTTGGGAAAGTAGAATATATAAAAGTTATGCAAGCCAAAGTTGGTTTAGTTCATTGTACCAGTATATCACCTGAACAAACTTCTGTGTGGAAATCTTATCGTTTGTGGAGTTTTTACATTTCAGAGATAATGTCTCGGTTGGACGGTGTCAGCGCTCTTATTGCAGGAGTTATTAAGAATTCTATCATCGTCTATGTGCGACATGTTCTGAAGATGGCTAGGAAGCTATTCATTAGACTTCATACGTGTCACATGTTGTTGATGTTGCCGTGGTAACTTCAAAACACGCGCGCGTTTTTGAAAGTTCGATTCAAATATGCTGTGGTGCACTTTAAATAAGTAAAATGGGGTTTCAATTGAGAAAAAAAACATAATATGATATAATGTTTGATTTTCGAAATATTCTCAGTAAGTATACATGTCAGAACAGGAGAGAGCCGATGTTTTCTCGAATCATTCAGTTTCTTTGGGCAGGGCCGATCGTTCTGTTGGTGAAGTTGATGCTGACATCTCGCACTCTCATGTTGGGAGTCAGGAATTGCTGGAGAGTGTCCACTCCGGTTCTGGGTTGCCTGTCGAAGGGGTAACCCATGGAACGGCGGTCGGGATACAGCTTATCCTTGATGCCGCAGTAACTACCTGCGTCGTTGCATCGTCCTTCGATGTTCTGGTCAATCTGTTGAAAATCAAGGCCAAACAATATAAATACAGGGTGGCATTGAAAGAAGTGCAAATATTTCAAACCCTGAGCAAGCTCGACGTATACTATATTGAATGGCACCAATGGAAAAATATAGGGATTCGAATAAAATTTGGGGTGAGACTCCTCTTCTCACCCAAAGTAAAAAATATTTAGTGTGCTTGAAAAATATTGTGTAGAAACTCTGACATCGAACTATTGTTTTCGACATGTCATTGATTCATTATCCATAGCACACTTTCACCATAGATCTATGCTTCCACGAAAACATTCCGTGAGATCAATTGCTAGAAGTGCATCCCAAAAACTTATGGTTTTCTGTTACGGACCAAAAGCTATTCCACTCTCAGTCAGCTGCTTATGATCTATAAGGCACAGCGACCTGTCCTGGAATACTGTTCCCATATTTGGAGTGCAGCACCCAAACATACCTACCCTGAAACTGTTGGATTCTGTCCAAAAAGGGCAATTCGTCTCGTGGGTGATGCCTCGCTCACAAAGTCACTCACTTCTCGGGAACACCGAAGAAAAGTTGTCTATCTGGCTCTATTTTATAGATATTTTCATGGACGATGCTCTTCTGAAATATCAACAATTGTTCCTCCCTTGGCAGTCCCCGCGAGATTAACCCGTCGAGTTGAGGCTTCGCACCCCTTCGTCATCACTTTGGAGATCTGCAGAACAACTCTTTCCAAAGACTCGTTCATCTAACGAACAGCGAGGCTCTGGAACACATTGCCAAGGGAGGTGTTCTCTGAGGCATATAACCTCCAGAAGAAGAAGAACACCTACCTCATTTCCCTTGGTTCTCACGATGTTCTCTGAACATTACAGGATATCCCTTTTCGTGGAAACCAGAACATAAAAAAATATATGAGTAGATTGTGGATTAGAAGTATGATTGTCATATATCGTTGGATAGGTATAATTCTATACTGATTCGTTATTTTATGAAAAAAAAATAAAATTTTATTTGAAATAAAAAACCGGAAGTTTCATATATGGTCTGATACTTACGAAGGCACTGAACGGACATATCAAAAAACAAAAAGCTCATGAAAAGTACATTATGACATGATGAAATAAATTTGTCAATGAGAAATCATTCACTCAGGTGTGATTTTCTCTTTGCGAGAGGATATGTTTGTTGACTTTGATTTTGAATTGGGTGATATTTGTGCAACTTTTGATATCATTAGGTAATTTATTGAATTTTGAGATAGCTCCGTGAGTGAACTTTTTTTGACCTAGTGTAGAATAAGCAGCATCAAGATGAAACAAGTCATATCGTCTAGTATGATGTTCATGGATTTGAGAATTCCTTACCATTATGAAGTTAGATTTGAGGTGCTTGTTAATAATATCGAAAGAAATTTTGAGAGTATTTATCAGATAGTGCTCTTCCAAAGAAAATAAATTTGTTTCTTCATAAAGTTGATTTGATGGGGTGTCATGGAAGACGATACAGTACTTTTAATGCTTTTTTATATAGTACATATATTTTGTTGAAATTATTCTTGGAACATGAACCCCAAATATTTATGAGATAGTTCATTTTACTAAGGATGTGAGAGTATAGAACGGTATTTGCTATATTTGGGAGAAGTATTGGACATCTTCTTAAGGATTTCAATTCACATTTTGAAAAAAATAGACTACCATTTGATACTGAATAGGGAGACAACTTTTTTTCAATATTGTGATCCTATTCCTTAATGATTTTCCATTCGGAAATATTGAAGAAGTGGGGGTCCGACCCCCAACCAGCTTAAAAAAAAATCCGTGCTAAAATTGAGAAAAATTCACCGGAACCCAATTTACCTTAACAATTTGCAGGGTTCTTTGAAACATCCATTCAAATTAGCAACGAAGATAAAGGGGTCTGAATTGGTTTCGTGTCACCAGGTTATATTTCCTTCTAGAAACTCACCCTGTCTCCCGCGTAGTCCGAGATCATGACGAACAGCTGGCACTCGAACCTCTCGTTGCCTCTGGGAATGAGCATGTGGTGCGGCCAGCCGCAGCCGCAGAAGTTGAACTGCGCAAGCGCATCCCCACCAGTAGGCCTGGCGTCGTCCAGGTTGCGGAACGTCGACTCAAAGGGAATGGTGACAGAGGACTCGGTGGAGGCGCGGTTGATGGTGTTCGAGCCGGGTGTCACTAAAATAGATGATAGAGAGTTGATATGGATAATAGAGCGTTGATATGGATATGGATATGGAGCTATCAACATCGAGCTCATGAATTACCTGGAACATTCAGGTATTATCAACGATAGGCAATATGGCTTTCGTCATCAGAAATCGACTGGTGACCTACTCGCTTACGTCTCACATAGAAAAAATAAAAAATATGGAATACCTTCCGGGGACATTTGCAGTGAACAGAATTTCAAATCGACCTTCATCCTCCAGAAGCGGGCTACTCGATACCTCTACAAAGTGGCACCTAGAGTACCATGCAAACCTCTGTTCTCAGAGCACAAAATCCTAACACTTCCGTGCCTCTGCATTCTCGAAACAGTATGTTTAGTTCACAACAATGAATTGTCATATAGTAATATGATACGGTTGTGAGTTCTACTCGCCAAAACAACAATTTAGGACTTCTACAACAAGAAAAATGTTAGAAGGTGCAGAGACTTCAACAGCAGCACTAGAGGTCATTCTAGACCTCACACCCCTCCACATCATGGTGAGGAGAACTGCTTGGGGAGCACATTTCAGGTTGGAGAAGGACGGGCTCAAAGGAGAAGCACATAACGTGGAGGATTCACTGTCCATTAGAAGTGCACAACTCGCCGATCTCCCTACTGATGAAATTATCAATTGCGAGAAAAATTTCCGAACAGAACTAAGCACCAAGAAAGAATGGAGCACAGAATCCATCCAAATACTGATGGGAAAGTATTATACCATAACATGTTATCCATACGAGTCTATTACACCTCGCTCTATATATTCCGAACCGATGGGCTAGTTTTCTAGCGTTTTTCGAGCGGAAATTCACGCCATAGAAAGGTGCATTCAGTTCAACCTCGACAGGAAATATCGGAACAAGGAGATCGCTATCCTTTCCGAAAGCCAAGCAGCCACTAAGCGTCGAGCTCCTTCAACATCAATTCAAAATGCCTAAACAAACTCATCAATCTCTAGGCAGGAACAATAAGGTAATCCTCTTCTGGGTGCCGGGGCACATCGAAGTGGAGGGAAACTAGCAGACATCTTGGCACGAAAAAGAGCATCAACGCCACTGATCGGACCAGAACCATTTCGCGGCCTTGGCAATTCTTATTTCCAAGAGGAACTTGATAAAGCTGAAGAAGCAATTAGAGCAACACTCTGGGGAAGACTTCCAGGACTGCGGCAGACCAAAGATCTCCTCGACAACATCCACAGAGCAAGATCGAAGATTAGTCTGAAAGCAATAACGGGATTCCTAATGGGTCATTGTAGACTCAAAGAACACCTAAGGAAGCTTGACTTAGAGGAGGAAAGCATCTGCAGATTCTGCGGGAAACATCCAGAAACACCCCACGACATCTTGCTGGAGTGTTTTGATGTACACCACAGGAGATCGAATATACTGGAAGTATACCACCTGACCGTGGAAGAAATACTATACAAACAGAGCCTCTCAAAATCCTCAGATTCCTAAGAAAATTGATGGTTGCTTTGAACAAGAAAACCTTGAGATAGCAAAAGAAGGTGGGGCACAATAGATCTGATCAGGTCGCAGCGCATCTGTTACCATCCACACTTACCAATACCAATACCAGTAGGTTCTGAATTATTATTGTTCATAAAAGTTGAAAAATTACAGGCATCCTTAAATCACTCGTACCTTGTCTTGAAACCATCGTGCTAAAAAAGGATTATACTTTAATCCAAAACAAAATGAAAGTTATGTTAACCATTCACCTTTGCCACGGCGATGTTGAGAAGTTGTAGGTGAGAGAGTAACTTTTTTTCCTGTATAATGATCGTCGTAAGAACGAAACTTCAGGCTAACACTCCGAAACATGAATCTACGATTTGGACTAAATATCAGTAGAATGGGACAAGAATTGAAAAAGTTACAGGGCAATCAATTTCGCAAATATTTTTCTGGCCGATTTTTGCCGGTGAGTGTATATTGAAATTCTTCATTTTGCAGGATTTCAGAAATTATTGAACAAATCACATTTTTTTCAGTAAGTACAAGTCACAGATTAGGTGACTGATTAATTTCTGGTAGAAGTGTACGAAGTGTATTATCCGGTTTTTGAAAATTTGTATTTGAAAAGAATTATTCTATAATATATAGAATTATTCCTAAAAAGAGTTCCTTTTCGTGTGAAAATTTGAATTTTCCGAAGCATTGTCCCAAACATCCCCACTATAGGAATATGATTTATGGAGCAAGGATATGAATAAGCATGCATATAACAAGTACTCACAGTTGACCTTGAACTTATCCAGTTCAATAAACATGCCCTTCTGGTCCCTGAAAAGCCACGGATTACCCCTTTCGTCGTACTTGGGTGACATGAATATCCTGCATGTTCCCTCTCTCGCAGCGTTCGACTGATTGTTCACAATTATCCTATATAGTAAAGACAAACATAAGTATTTTCATAGACGATATTTGAGTTGGAAAGGATAGGTCATCTTATTTAGTCTCTTGGCAGCGGTTTACTGTCAAATTGAGTGTCAATTTTCAAGAAGTTCAAGAAGTTGTTTTTTATCTCATTTTCAATAATTAACCATCCAACAGGTTTCGCTCTTATAGAAATACAGTAGTTCTAATAAAGGCACCGATTTTATTGACGTTTGACATTTAACACCTCACGTAGTTTGAAGGTTGAATTCTTTCTAATTTCAATTTTGATGATTTGTTGAATATCCTAGGGAATTCGATATGATAATAATTAATATAGTTAACATTCGATTTACCACAAGCGAAGAAGTATGGATTCCCTCTTTGGTCCCTTTATATAGTTGCTGGATCATCTCAAATTGATGATTAATATAATCTTCAATATATTTAGTCTATAAACCTGATGTTTTTTCATTGAAGTATTGGAATTACATGAACTTCAATTGATTTAAGTTTTCGCTGCATTGGTGAAAGTGGCTCCTGTGTAAATAGAAGGAAATGTCTGAAATTGTGGTACTATTTAATGATATTTGGAGCTATAAACCATTATTTCTATTCCTCTTGGACTATATATCAATATCAATCAATTACATGAAGATCTACACCTACTAATATTTCTTGAAATAAAGCATGTTATTTCGAATTCATATCATACATTACTTTGTGACATTCATTCAAATAACTTTAAAGAATAAAATATCGTTACCTACTTCAAAAACGCTGAACATGTCAGATATATAAAAGACATACTATATTCAGGAAGGTGGAAATCTGACGATACGCAAGATACATTAACTACAAAGATAATATGTCCTCAACATCGAATGTGAACAGGTAAATTTATTAGTTACGAATGAGACAATTTGTGTTTCATTGTTAGATGCATCTAGTGGTTTTTGAAGGAATTCCATGATTGAAAATAGGGAATTTCTGTGAAATTTTCAACTGCTGTCGTGCCAACTCACTTGTAGTTGAAGTTCCTGTGCTGAAGATGCGTGATCCTGACATTGATGGTTCCCCTCGGCTGGAAATCCATGCCCCTGGAAAGGTCCACGTCCGACTGTTGCCAGAAAGTCTCGAAGACATTGGTGGGTCCGCCCAGTGTCTGAATTTGGATATCTTGGACTGTCACTCCGGGGTAATTCAACTGCGAATGCATCAAGACGTGAGAATAATTATTATTTACTCAGTCGACTTCACCCTATAGATTAGGCGCTAAGTCATTGTTCTAAATTAATCTGAATTGTTCCTATCCGTCATCTGGTTGCAATCTTACGAGCAATCCTCAAAAGTCTTCAAGAGACTTGTGCGAGCAAGGAATTACGGGTTTCTTAACTTTTAACGTGTGATTCCAGACACTTTCTTAGGTCATCAGAATATTTTCTGCAGTCGTTGGATTCGAATCCACGAACCGGCTATCCAACGTGAATAGAATACTGACGTTTCTACCACACGGTTACCTGACCTATTATCAATCGTAGACTTTCACTTTTTAAAAAGTCTTTATTCCCCAGAAGTGCGCATTAGACAATTAGAGGAGGCTTTTGGTAATGACTTCTTGCACCGAATGCATGTATCCCACGCTGTCAATATGTGTTTTTTTTAAGTTGTGATAACTATGCCTACATAGACTGCGCGATCATTTTCGTGACAATTTTGTGTTGGTGCTAAATTATCTGTTACCCAGTGTATGCTGATGTTGCTTTAATCGGTTCTATCATTATTGTTACTCAGGGTAGAAGAATGTACTCACCTGTGCAACAGTGTATCTGGGTAGAGTCGATTTGAAATTCTGGAAGATATCATCGATATGCGCATGCCATCTGTAGAAGAATGGATCTCTCATTGCCGTAGCTGAATCTCCAATCACACCAAATGATTCCTAAGAAAGAACAGATTTATTAACGTCTGATATTCATTTGTCAATCATAATGCCTCATCGTTGGGATGGACTTTCTTAAACAAGATGAGTTCACCACAAGGTATTGAATATACGCGGACAGCTGTAGAGTCTGAAGATATGTTAGACTGAGAACTTGTCAGAGGAGGTATATTGGATGACAGTACTCCTCTTTTAGGCATTATCCCCCTTGGGACATCAGTATTTATAATTATCTATCATGTAAACTGGATGGTTCCTATCTAACTGTACTCAAAGATATTTTTTCAACGAGATATTTACCAAATGTCTGTTGTCAGGGTCATGGATGTAAGATGCTATGGTATGGCCCATATTGTGGTAATCTCCATAGTAAGCTTGATTTGGCGATAGAATACTGGCTTCTATGATATTTCCTAGAACGTCTATTCCTTCGAATTCGGTCAATGGGATATTTTGGTTGTTTTCCTGAAATTATAATGTTCCTACACTTTCCATTAGGAATTCTACCTAGGGGCGGGATATTTCTGTTTAGTTGAAGACTGCATGTCAATTGGTGATTTTAAAACTTCAATAAATACCCAAACTCTCAATATAATTCGAAGTTGCACACTCTTGAACCAATTTAAAAATGTGATTTTGATGTCAGAATCTCAGGTAGTTCTTGATAAAGCAGATTCATTCTTCCAGAAATGAGTACCTGGTAGTTTGAGGAAGAGCGAAAAATGCCAAATTTCGTGAAATCTTACATTTCTGATAACACCAGAATGAATCGCTTCGAAAATCCTGTCCCTCCATCTCCTCATCTCGTCAACATCCAGAGTGATCTGATCAGCTTCTCTCCTGAGATTTCTGAGGCGCATATTGGCCACCCTAGCAGGCCAAGTTCGGCTGGCAACGATGCTGTCCAGTTTCGGAAAATAGGCTTCCTGTATAGGTTCTTCGAAGTTTGTGAATCTCTCCACTCGTTTCATTCGATTACAAAGACGTTCAGCATTGTATCTGTTGAAAAATATCACATCAGTATAGTTTGATTCATTGCAGCTCCTTAGTCACACTCATTGCAGTGTGACAAACTGTTCTAAAACGAACTAGTACTGAATTTCTTAAACACCTAATAACACTTCGTTTTACTTTCTGAATCACTATTAGTGAATAAAATGGTCATTTTCAACATTGAAGCAATACAAATTAGGTAATTCAATGATCCATGCATGATAGGATGCATCTGGAGATGAATAATCAAAGGAGTATCACAACTTTCCTGATGACAATAATTGCATCAAAAGAAGGACATTCGCTAGCAGTTAGTAGATTGATATTTTGCTAGGAATTACCGTTTGTTATTAGAATAGTATCATAGACTGTCACAGTCGCATCATCATGTGATAATCATTACTTAGGTATCCATTATATCTGTTACAACTTTGCTTGAATTCAAAACCATGTCAATGTTCTCAATGTATTTGTTGGATTTAGTAAAGTAGAGTCCCTACTTTCAAAAAAAAAGTATAAGTAGGTACCTTTAGGTACCTTTAGTACTTTAGTGTATATCTGTTCGACACTTCTAAACTATCTCTGCCAAGATCTGCATATTGTATCAATTCATAAAAGGATGGATAATAGTTAATACAGGGTCTTCAGATACTTCAGTTGAGTTGGTGAAGTGATGGCTTACAGAGAAAAGGTGATGAGATTATAGAACAAGTTGAGTTCAGAAATGACAAAGCGAGACTGAACTGTTGCGCAAATATTTATCTAGAGCAATAGGTATGACCCATATTTCAATATGCATCTAAGGTGATAATGATACCGCTTCTTTGCAACATTTCCATCCTCGGCGAAACCGTATTCAAACTTTGGAATATGGTATAATAAATTACCTCACTAGGTACCTGCTTCGGACACTTTCGGGGATCCAGCTATTTCCACTAATAGTTTGACTTATCAAATGGGTCATCAGATCACTGGATTTGACCATTCCAGATGAGAACGTTATACACATTGGTTCAAATGATCTTATGTTGAATATATCACCAATATGATTCCAAAATAATCTGCCTTTTATTAGCACATACACATATTATACAGAAGAAGATCCTTGAGAAGATCGATATAGTTCCAAGAGAAGATGATATGATGATGCGTTAGCAAAACACGTGTATTTAGACATTTTTGAATACATCTCATATGAAACATAATTGGAGAATAACTAATACCATTCAGGGCATTGACATACTTACACAGTATAAAAATAAGATAATGACGATATTGTGTTTCAAACTGAATCTTAACACAGATAGGCATGAACAAGTAATGGGGAAAATATATTTTATATTACCTTGCCATGATTTGCTGATGCATATAGTAGAATAATTCTCCCCTTCGATTTTTGTTGACTACTTCCAATGCAGCTTCGAACGGGTACACCAAATGCCAGTGCCAATGATGAAGGTTGACACCAACATCTTCCCTAAAGTAAGCTACGCGATGTTCTTCTTCTAAGTCTGAAGCTGTATAGTCCTTGGGCATTTCGATGGGAGTCTAGGATTATAAAAAATAGTAAAGAATTAAAGTGCTCTTTTCTTCAGTTGAAATTGTTGAAAATGTCTTGAATAGCCACTTGCACACAATCTCAACAAGTATACAGAAAAGTGCACAAAAAACGACCAGTGCTGTATCTTCCATTTGGGGTCGGTTTTTGAAATTTGGTGGGTAGCAGCTATATATGTATACCAGATAGCCTTTTATTGACATGTTTAACTGGAAGCAATCTCACATACATATATTACGTTTCTACACCTTTTGCATAGTTGTATTTCAGAAAGCGTCAATTGTTTTTCAGAATAGTCAATTGAATTTCATAAAACTTCCATCTCAATTGATATTTTCAGGAATAAAAATGACACTTTCTAAAATCCAATTGACTATTCTGAAATATAAGTGACTATTCTGAAATTCGATTGACGCTGTTTGAAATTCACGAGAATCAATCAAGAAGGAAAGATCCGAGAAAAATGTTGACGTCACTGCCTTCATGAAACATTTTGCGTGGAGTAATTCAGACGACAAGAGCCACGTTGGATCCGCGTGATTCCATACACTGCCTTTTCCTGATTCACTTCCAATAATCATTCACATGTTCTCAACCCGGATCCCTCCGGTACCAAATGGGTCACCTCCCTCGATTTGGCGAAGGCATAGTTGAGGATGGGGTTGACCACAAGGAAGTTCTTCAGGCAAATCAGTGTGGATCAATCAATAGGGAGAGATCCATATGAAACGTTGACATCACTCTATACCCTCATGACGCATTTCACGTGGAGAAATTGAGAGAACAAGATCTACATTATCTTGGTTCCAAACACGGCCTTTTCTCGATTCACTTCCACTAATCATTCACATGTTCTCAACCTGGATGCCTCCGGTACCATATGGGTCACCTCCCTCGCTTTGGAGATGGCTTAGTTGAAGAGGATGGGGTTGACCACAAGGAAATTCCCCACGCAAATCAGTGTGGATCAATCAATAGGGAGAGATTCATGTGAAACGTTGACATCACTCTATACCCTCATGACGCATTTCACGTGGAGAAATTGAGAAAACAAGATCAACATTATCGTGGTTCCAAACACGGCCTTTTCCGATTCACTTCCACTATGCATTCACATGTTCTCAACCTGGATGCCTCCGGTACCTTTGGAGAAGGCGTAGTTGAAGAGGATGGGGTTAACCACGAGGAAGTTCTCCACGCAAAGTAGCGTGGATCAATCAAGAGGAAAAGATCCATGCGGAACGTTGCCATCACTCTTTACTTTCATGACGCATTTCACGTGAAGATATTCAGAAAACAAGAGGAAGTTAGCGTAATACCATACCCGGCTCTTTCTCTATTTACTTTCACTAATCATTCACATGTTCATGTTCATGTTCATGTTCATGAGAAGAGCTTGCTGTCGAAGTTCTTGTGATAGAAGAAGTGGACGACGGAGGCACCGAACATAAACTGACGGAGGGTACATCGAGGTCCTGCGTGCTTGCTAAGCAACAGGGCGACGTAGGAGGCGTAGCTGAAGAAGATGGAGTTGACCACAAGACATTTCTCCACGCGAAATAACGTGGATCAACCATAAGCTGGGAATGATTATAAGGGAAACCTGCACGCCAAATGACGTGTATTGATCAAGAGGGAAAGTTCCAACAAAAACGTTGACGTCACTGCCTTCATGACGCATTTCGCGTGGAGGAATTCAGAAAAAATGATTCTCCAAGCAAAATAGCGTGGATCAATCATAAAAGAATGCTCTACGCGAAATAAGCGTGAAATGATTATGAGGGAATGCTCCACGCTGAAAAAACGTGAATGAATCAAGAAGGAAAGATCCAAGCGAAACGTTGACATCACTATTCCTTCATGACGCATTTGGCGTGTAGAAATTCAGAAAACAAGATCCACGTACACGGTGAAAAACTTGTGTTGCCGTAACAATATTCTGGTTAAAATAGGCACAACCAGATGCAAATAGTTGCTGATACCGTATCAATGAAAGATGGTTAGTGTAAAAAGATATCTGCGGTTGTACCTATACTAACCAGATGATTTTTTTACATGTAAGCCTGGTTTCATGAACGGCCTTTTCTCGATTTACTTCCACCAATCATCAGTCACGTGTTCTCACCCTGGATCGTTCCGGCACGATGTGGGCCACCTCCCTGGCCTTGGAGAAAAGCTTGCTGTCGAAGTACTTGTGAGGGAAGGAGTGGACGACGGAGGGCACATCGAGGTCCTGCGTGTCCTTCCTGTGCAGCAGAGCGACGGAGAAGGCGTAGTTGAAAAGGATGGGGTTGACGCGCTCGCGAGCGTATATGGCCATGGACAGGAGGTCGTCGGTGTCTCTCATGCCTGCAAACATATAGGTATATACAGTGTGTTACTGTTTGGTCCACCCCACCCCGTTACTTTCGTGTCACTAGGGCGATTTGGAATTTTTTTTCCTCATGATATACTACTCAAAATTATCCACTTTGTCAAGCCAAAAAAAACTTCGAATACAATTTTTTGGCCTACTGCGATAGAAAAATTGAACGATATCACATTGGATATAAATGACACTCTTGTTAGTTTACTGAACATGGAAATGGTTGATTCAAGATCAATTAATGAAAACATCCTGTAATTCATTTGTAGACTAAAATCACTCATTCATATGCCAACATCAGTATGACACTAGAAACTGTCAAACTATAAGCAGCACAACTTCCAAAAAGAAATATTTTGCATTTTCATGTTGAGAACAGGAGCAGATTCGGTCCCGAAACGTCCAAAGGTAAGTAAATATTAGACATTTTTTCAATATATCTATATTTCTTTCCTTCAAACATTTTTTCAAACAAATTGTCACTGACAAGCAACTGGATTTTTCTTTTAGGCTCCCTGATTGGAAAATTTGTTAAACGCAGTGACATTTTGGGGCAAATCTGATTGGTCCCACTACAAATATATTGAAATAATACGAATATTTTTATTTTATAGAAACGAGGAGAGAAAAAAAAATCCAGATTATCACTAAATATCTTATCAGTAATGAGTAGGGATTTATAAGAAGTTACCTAAAAATATGTCGATCAATCTTCCAGCAAGCCTTCTGTGATATGGAATGAAAAGAGTGAAATTCTCGTCACGGGGTAGATTTACTATTTCTCCCAAGGACGGTAGGGATATCTGGTTGACATTTATCTTTTCCCCAGCATCTTCTCCAAATCTGTTCACAATTTGGCTACCGATTGATTGATATTCGTCTTTCTGCAAGAGAAATTATCATCATTAGATAGGTGAAGTTGTTGGCCTAATAATTGATACTTATTTATGCAACAACGGTATGAAAGTGAAATTATAGCACAAGAGTCCTAGTATTTTATGAGTGAGGGCTGCTTAGCTGTGTGCACGTGTATATACAAGGTGATCCACGGTGGATGGCCTATTAGAAGTATCTGGAGAACGAAAAGACAGAACATTCTGAAAATTGAGATGCTTTGAAAATTGAACATTCTCTATCCGAATAAGATATTTTAATCGTTACAGTGTTGCCACTTCTATCAGAAACAACCAGCAACTTTGTTATTTCATATTGAACACCCTGTATTTTATTGTATTTTTAGATTCTTCCTGAAGAGATGATTTTATGAATGCATCACACTAGGGGTCTAGCAGGAATTATTACAGAGATATAGGGTGTTCAAAATCGAGTTTTTTCAATTTTATTTTTTTTTTGTGTCGAAACTATCCATTATGGATCAAAACGGCTTACAGGTCTCTGTCTCAACTTTTTATTCACTATCTACTGGTGCTTCAAGATTCAGAATTCTGAGCACCTTGTATCTGTTCCAATTAAATGTCAGTAGATAGTGAATTGAAAGTTAAGATAGGGACATGTAAGCCGTTTTGATCGAAAATGAATAGTTTCGACACGAAAGAATCCTAAAATTGAAAAATCTCGATTTTGAACACCCTATATCTCTGTAATCATTCCTGCTAGACCCAAAGTGTGGTGCATTGATAAAATCAGCTCTTCAGGAAGAATATAAAAATGCAATAAAATACAGTGTGCTTCATTTAAAATAACGAAGTTCCTAGTTGTTTCTAATAGAAGTGGCAACACTGTATCGATGAAAATATTTTAGACGGATAGAGAATGTTCAATTATCAGAGCATCCCAATTTCCAGAATGTTCTGTCTATTCGTTCTCCAGATACATCTAATAGCGTAGCACAGCGCTTTCGACTGTTAAGTCATCATCAGTGCATACCTGTAATTAGTACAAATTCAAAATGGAAACAAATGAGAATCGTATCAGAACATAGAGTTTTCGGAAAACATACATGGGGGCAAAAAGTTTCCAAATTGCAGAGACAATCTGAATCTATGTCCCATTGAAAGCAGAGACGGCACGCAAAAAAGTTCTACAGGGTTAAATTGGGTAGGACCCCTGAAAGTCTATCACCCTGTAGGTATTCAAAAACGCTCAATAGCCTCAAATATTGAGTTTTCGAAGTGTATTAGGTGTACTGAATTTCAATCAATTATTCCGAAAATTGTCGGAGAAAATTCAAAAAACAAAAAAAATCTGAAACTTTGACTTCCTGTGAATCGGAAACGAAGCTTCCAGGCATATATGGCATATATGTTTGCATGAGATTTTCATCTTGAAAAAATGTCTTCTTCAAGCTGTTAAAGTCCTGCTACAAAAAACTGGAACACCCTGTATAAACGTTGGTAGAATGAGAAGAGCACAGTCATATCCACGACTTTTTTATTCGAAAGCATCAGTTTAGGAATATGCAGCATAATATCATTATGAGGAATCTCCTTGTATTGTAGTACTACTTAGCATAGGCTGAATATGGACATTGTATACAGAGAAGTGCACAAAAAACGGTCAGGATTGTAACTTTTGAATTATTTTAGATAGGGTATCGAAAATTGGTGGGTAGCAAGTATACCAGATTGCTCATTAATTGATAAAATATTTTTTCTTCTATTACTTTCAGTTTCACCGGAAACGACCCCAACTTTTGATTTTCAAATGGGACACCCTGTATTGAATTCCATAATCGGTTTGGGATTATCATATCAGAAGTCCAACGATACCAGGTTTGATAGGGTTATTTCGAACGATTACAAAGATATTTGCGTTCGATGTTTCCATATGCTCAATGGGTGTGACTTCACAATATCAAAACTTTTGTCTCTGTCACACTCATGTAGTATATAGAAACTTAGAAAGCGAATATCTGCGTGATCGTTTGAAATAACCATATCAAACCCGGTATCGATGAATTCGTTATGACAATCCCTTTCCAATTATGGAATACAATACAGGGTGTGCCATTCAAATATCAAAGGTTGGGGTCATTTCTTGTAAAACCGGAAGTTATGAAACAGAAGTTGTTTCTTCTGCTACTGAGCAATTCGGTATACTAGCTGCCTTCCAATTTTCAAAACCCCATCTCGAATGATTCAAAAGTTACAGTACCGGTCGTTTTTTTGCACTTCTCTGTATGTTCGAAACATGTTCCTGAATTGATAAAAAATTCGTGGAGATGACTTTGTGCTTTTCTCATTGAATAAGATACTTATAGATAGATAGATACATAGATAGATAGATATTTATTTCCATACTAATAACATTGAATTAGTTGATCGTCAGATAAAATAGTACTATACAAAACAAAAGTGTATATAATCACAAAACTACAAAACTGCACAAATAGTATGAAAAGTAAAAAGTATAACTAGGAAAGTGTCTATCACAGAAGTTCGAGTTCATTCATGCTCAGATCAAGATACTCTTTGATCGTATAAAAGCAGTTTTCCAGTAAGAAAGCTCTGATTTTATTCTTGAATTGATAAAAGTTCAGGCACCTTACCTTATAAGGTATCTTATTGTAGAGGTGCAGATTCACAGAGTTCCTTTTTGACATCTGTAACCTGAGCTTAGGTATTATAATCAAGTTGCCATTGCGAGTAGAATAAGGGTGCAATTCGGATTGAACCGTATAATTGTTTTTAGTATTATGGATTTCGAGTAGAGATTTATAAATAAAAAGTGTAGGAAGTGGCATAATTTGGAAACCCACAAAAAGAGGACGACAGTGCTCGCGGAAATGCACTCCTGCCATTACTCTAATAACTCTTTTTTGCAACATGAAAGCTTTATGAGAATGACAGGAGTCACCCCATAGTAAAATACCGTAAGATAAATTACTATGGAATAACCCATAGTAACAAGTTCTGAGAACATGTGAACTGACAATATTCCTCAAACGTCGGATCAGAAAGGTGATACTAGATAGTTTCTTCGCTAGTGATTCGATATGAGGAGCCCAGTTGAGCCTATCGTCTAGTTGCACGCCAAGTATCTTCACACTATCGCCCTGAGAGATATTTGATTTCGAAGAAACCAGGATAGATTGATTTTTATGTAAGTTAATTTCGAGTTTGTTACAAGTAAACCAAGTTTGAGCTGAATTCATAATATCTTTTGATTCCGTACATAAACTGTTTAGGTCTGCACTTTGACAAATGAATGTTGTATCATCTGCGAAATATGATAATAAAGGTCATTTATATAAATAAGGAATAGAAGAGGGCCCAAAACAGAGCCTTGAGGAACACCGTGTTCAATAACCTTTCGATCAGAGAGAGCACCACTTCGTCTAACACACTGGGATCTATTTCTCAGGTAAGATTGAAAAAAAACGAGAGCCAAGCCTCTGATGCCATAGTGATGAAGCTTTTTCAAAAGAACATCATGCGAAACACAGTCGAATGCCTTCGAAAGATCACACAACGTGAGTTGAGAGTAAGTACCTTCTTCCAGGCCCTCGACTATGTCCGACACAACTTTTAGGAGAGCTTGTGTTGTGAAACGGTTTTTCCTGAAACCAAATTGCCCAGGGTACAACAGTGCATTTTCTTCCAGAAAGTTATAAAGTTGTTTCTTCAGAATTATTTCTATGATTTTGCCTATAATTGTTATTATAGATATAGGACGAAAATTGTTCACATCATCAGTGCTTCCTTTTTTCAATACCGGCAAAATAACAGTGTATTTCAAAGCATTCGGAAAACTTCCAACAGAGAAACATTCATTTATCAAAGTAGTCAAAGGTTCGGCAAGAATATCCGCTACTGATTTAATAATTTTGCTATCGAGTTCATATGCATCAAAAGCATTGGAATTTTTGAGGCCAAGAATAATGTCATAGACATCACTGGGAGTCACTGGATTCAGAGCAAAAGAATGAACTGGAGTTTTTATTTCTTTTAAATAAACTGTGGGCTCATGAGGAATGTTAGGCAGTGAGCTTATATGATCTTCTCAGCAATTGAAGTGAAGTATTCATTGAACTGTGATACCGATATTTTTGTCTCAATCGGTTTTTTTTTATTCCTATTTTCTTCGTCATTTATCAAATGCCAACTGTCCCTCATGACGTTAGTTGAGTTCAATAAATAGTTATTGTAGGCTTCTGTTTTACAAATTTTGATTCGAGTTTTGTATTCATTATTCAATATTTTGTATATTATATTCAAAGAACAAGCATCTTTATTAACATCATGTATGGTTTTTATAGCATTCAGAGTACTACGCATTTGTTTGAGTTCATCATTAATCCAAGACACTGGTTGTGCTTTTGCAACATTACCCGATTTTTTTAAAGGAAAAAATGGAAAAATATCCAGTACTGAATCACTCAGCATATTTTGAAAATTTTGCATTTTCATGTCCAGACTAATATTATTGTCTTCGAGGTAACTCCAATTATTTTTTAAAATACGAGACCTCAGCCTACTTAGACCTTGTTTATGTATTAGACGGGTCCAATGCGACTCATTACTTCTCAGAATTATCTTATTTATGCTGAGATCTGAGATCCCAGAACTATAAAGCGTTTTATCTAAATTAGTAACTACATTATCAACCCGAGTAGAACACGTAGGAGTCACACGTGTGTATTCGAATATTGTAGTATGTAGATTGAATGACTAGTAAGTTTTCAAAAGTAATTAAGTTCGGCGTTTCAGCAACTGCAAAATTCAAATTGAAGTCACCGGCTAGTATCACCTTAGTTTTATCCACATTCAGATGGTGTACGGCACTCTCATATAAGTCTAGGAATGTATAGAAGTTTCCATTGCATGATCTATATAAACAAACAATCTTCAACTGTCGGAGTTCAATACCACATAGTTTCTGAACAAAAACGTTTCAGAATGATTGGTTCACAGGGAATTGAGTTTTTAACAAAAATAGCCACCCCACCATGGCATCTTTCAGTTCTACAGAATTTTGCAGCTAAGTAATAGCCATGAATGTTCACAGACATGAGATTCTCTTCAGATAACCAATGTTCTGATATACATAAAATATCATATGGAAATTCACTTAAGAAAACAGAAATTTCATTAAGTTTATTGGCTAAACAACGAATATTTATGTGATACGCTTACCCTATTTGATTTGTCAGGTATGGGACACACGTCAAGTGATTTATTATTATTATAAATATTGATTATTCAATAGATGATCATATAGAAGTTACGATTATCAGATCAATACTCACCAAATATTCAGTAGGTACATTGAATTGTGCATTCTGAGGACCCTTGAGGCCGACAATAGGTTCTGTAGGGCGATCGTATAACAATAGAAGATCCTTTTTGCCAGGCATAGCGACGTTTATTTCTGAAAAACGAATAAACGATTATTGTTGAATAATAATCGTATATGAATCCAGCCTAGTTTCCGCTAATATTCATCAATTCGCATGATTCAATTGAATATTCTCATCCCAGTTTCTCCTTTCTCAGAAACACATGCATCTTGAATACTCTAATATGATCCACCTTGAAAATATGATATAATAATTTGAATGGTCAGCTTGTACGTGGTACGGTACATAGTTTGAATATTTTAAAATCTAAAATATCTAAGTAATTCATGTTGAACATGTTGAAATGTTGAAAATTCACATTGAATATATTAGAATGAATAAAACTAACAAAAAAATAGAATGTGATGAATGAATATGTCGCAAATAATCGGGTGACACAAACTCATGGTATACCCCTCTTTTCTTCTTTGGTTTTCTAGCTATATTTCTGAAATTGAGAATATCGAATTTGGTCACTAGAGGACAATCTCTCACATTTTAAGAAATGTTTTTCATCTGCCGGTTTTTCCTAGAAATCACATCAACTTTCGATTTTCAAACGAAACACCCTTTATTTCATTCCATAATCGGTTAGAGATAACTATAATGAATTCAACAATGCCAGGTATGATTGGGTTATTGCGAATGATTACGAAGATATTCACATTATAAGTTTCCATAAACTCAATGGGTGTGACAACGCAATATCGAAAACTTCTTTTTCTGTCACACTCGTTTGGAATAACTCAATCAAACCTGGTATTATTGAATTCGTTATAATAATCTCTGATCGATTATGGAATTAAACATAGGGTGTTTCATTTGAAAATCGAAATCTGACGTCATTTCCAGAAAGAACCGGGAGATAAAAAATATTCCTCAAATGTGAGGAAGTACCCTCTAGTGAGCATATTCGATGTTCCAAATTTCAGAAATATATAGCTAGAAAAACAAAGGAGAAAAGGGGGGGGGGGTATACCATGAGTCAGTGTCACCCTATTGAAGTATTTTATTTCTCGAATTTCAATAATTCATCAAATTGAAGAAAGTTTCACAAGGTGAAATAGGTATTTATACACCAATGTAGTAACAACTATCATTATTAATCAGGGACCAAGATATGAGTTCCCGTCGAATTATAGTCTTTACTTTACTATCATCAAGGTGTATATTGAATTTTTCTCGCCACTAGCAATATATTTTAATCATTATAGTTCTGTGGAACCGATATATGTATATGGACCTATTATCACTATGAAAGCAATTCTTTTTAATTCCAATTGAAATCTAGTAGCCATCACCATGACAGCATAATTATGACAAGTCCTTATTGATAAATACCTACTATAGATCCGAGTGACATTCCTGCAAATCTCCGGTTTAATTATAAGAGAGGTGGCTATGTCTTTATTGACTAGTAGTTCATGAAATGAAGAAAACTACCATGGTGAGAAAAACACATTTTACGTCTTGAAAATGTGTGAATAATGGTATAGGTTAGTAGGTTCTATACTCGAAAAACAAAATTTTGTACATGCAGTCGACTCGATAATTGTTTTATTTCATATTCACGAACATGGACATTGAAAATGTCAATATCGTGTTGAGAATCTGAAAATATTATACCTATAAATAACAATACTTGAGAGTGATGAATCCAAAAGTGGAATTATGGACACCGCTTTCTCATTAATCTGTTGCTTTCACTACCCGGTAAAAAATTCATTTTTCTAATTTTGACATGTAATATGACACTTTTCAAAACTGACAGGACTTTTGAAACGTCTTACTTCACGTAACCAGTTGCGTAAAGTAAAATTTTACATAACTGGTGATGTAATGTTCATTTCATTCATTCATTTCACACAACAAGAGTCGGCAGAACTCATGTAAAACTGGTCATTATTTTTGTTCATGCGAAATGTTTCGTCAAAATTAGAAAAAATATTGTACGTAACACGTTAGGAAACGCCATTTTGTGTAACTCTGTGATGTTGCGGGATCTCGCTTCGCTCGTCCCGCAAAATCCCATCGTTACACAAAACAACGCGTTTCCTAACTGATTACGTAAATATCTATTTCATTTAAGGACTTTGATGCCTTTATGCACTTCCTTTTTTTAACTCTATAGTCTTCTTCATGATCCAAACATAGTCTTCAGCGTACTCAGCCCGATGAAAATATTGGTGTTCTAACCTCCACTGCTCACATTATTAAAATAAGGCTAATTTGTTTATATTGTTTTCGAAGTCTCATTTGAACAGGCAACTAGAATTTTGTGAATTCTCAACCATATTTTGAAAAAATGAGAAGAATACATTGTATGTCTTACTTCCGACAGATTTGCACCAGATAAAAGTTGGCCATCTTTTAGCGAATAGTTAATGAAAGATTAAAATTTATTTGGGTACATAAATGATTGAACGGAAATACCAAGTTTCAACTCATTAGTGAAATCGTTGTTGATTGTGAAATTACAGATTAATGAAAAAGCAGCGTGCATAAATCCGCCTTTATCGAATGAAGATTAAGCGAAAGCTCTCTTTCATTATCAAAATACATTATTATAATTATTATTTATAAATATAATATGTGTAGTGAGGACAAATCAGATCAAGAGCAGGAGCAGATTTATTTCCAAAACATCAAAAACTAAGTGAAAATTTGATATTTTTTCTATACATTTATATTCTCTTCTTCAAACATTCTTTAAAAGGATGTGTTTCTGAGTACCGCTATAAACAATTTTTCTGCTGGGTTTAACTGGGTAATTTTCATACGCAATGACATCCTGGGACGAATCATTTATCCCTACTAGACATGGTGAAAATTTTGATGAGCCAATTTTCATATTTACCTACAATACATATATGTGGACGACCAGAAATATGAAAACTTTATTATTCTAAACACAATATATTCTGAATAGATTTTGATATTATAAGGCATGTTCGAAACATTGATTCTTCATTGTTCATTAATAAGTATTCATTTGCAAAAAATATGATTTGATACATTTTCATCATCTACCCTACTAACCTTATATGAATTTTCTACTCAAAATTCATTAACAAATTTAATCATTGTTGTCCGAAAGAACGACTTTAAAAGCTATACTTTATAGCATGAAGATTATTGAAAATATACCTCTTCATATATAATGTGTGTATTTTTTTATTAGTAATTGAATGGGAAACGGTTCTTCAATTCATATTACATAATCTGGCTTATCATTGAAAATCTTCGGTCGTAGGAATCACTGGTGAAATATCGTGTGCGTATTTCGGAATACCCTGTATAAAGGTAAATCAACATCTCCTTATTTGTTAAAAATATAATACAATTCTACTATTCTGTTATTTTTTTCTCAATTTAATTTTCAGCACTCTTTTTTTAAATCTCATATTCACTGATTTTTCAATAATTATAATATAAATTGTACTCACCTGCTTTCCGAAAGATGAATGAGAATAGGAAGTTCAAAAACACAACTGAATCGAATGCATTTTTTGGGTGGCTTTTATAATCGCAGCCATAACATACAAGATGATGTGTATTAGAAGTTTGATGGGATATGGTGGTTTGGATGATAAAAATACCATGTCCTGTTACAGACTTCTACACATAATAACATTGTGGTAGGTATTTTCACTCGAATCTGTTGATAATGGAGATAGTTAATGAAAATATCCTATTATTATTTTCAATATAAGAATGTTTACCTGATACTTATACCTCATATCGGGTTATACAAAAACAATTTCGAAGTGTTTATCGAAATGGAATTAGGTTGATAACTTCTAACTTCTCTAGCGATCTTCCTATATTTCGAGGATAAAAAGGAAATGAGAAAAAAGGAATAAATTTTCGATATTGGCAACATTTATTTGTTGTGGGATTGGTTATCCACATTTTTATTGTCTTCCAGTATCTCAATAGCTATCAAATTACAATGATAGAACGAATGGTATTTGAACCTATCTAAGGACCGGGATTCAGGGAGTTGAACCTTCTGACTGTTCTGAACAAAGAGCCAATAGGAGCTGCATAACTGCAAATAAGCTGCTCTCAAAAATTACTTCTTTGGGTTATTCTTTGGATCCATCCTGAGTTGGAGATTGAAGAAAGTTGAATAGTATGGGGAAAAAAGTTTAACCTATATGAGTGGCATGTTGAGCTTCGACAATTATTATTGTTTTTTTGTAAATTTTCATTTTCACCGAGAGCTTCAATTATTACCGGAAATTGAGAACAATATTCTGAAAATTTTCCCCAGTCGAAGACGAAGCTAGAGTGACAATTCGGTAAGAATATTTTACACCGAAATTTAGTGACGCAAAACAGCTGGTGGTAGTTCAAACTAATATTTTTGACTGACATCATTGCACAAAAGTTAGTGGAAATATATTTTGCTCCAAGGAAATCTACAGCATGTATAGTATTAATATAATTCATATCCATAACAGTGTCAGGTTGCACAATTAACTTACTTTAGTTTAAAAAAATTATGAAAAGTAAGTGGATACTAGCTGATTTTCTCAATTTTTCACAAATTCATTTTGCTAAAGTTGGTAGGAATGTATTTTTTCACTAGAAACTCGAAGTACTATTTAGTATCAATGAAATTTGCTCATACGTAATATAACTAGGAATACTAGGCTGAACATAATATGATTTAAGTAGCTCAATCTCTCAGTCTTTTACCAATTCATTTAGCTAAACTTAGTAGAAATATATTTTCTTACAAGGAACTTATCAACTTATAGAGTTAATTCGACGTAATATGAAGTTAAATGTGATGTCATTTCACCTACAGTTCTCAACACACCAAATGGACCACTCATAATTTGACTCTATTTCGAGGACCTGTATTTTTTTCAAAAATTGACCGATATTCATGCGGTTTTCGATATCAGATGTGATATTTCATCAGCTTCAAAAAGAGCCAGAAGACTGTGAAAAAGCCTGCAGAACAAAATTTACACAGAGTGTAAAGTGGAACCATTACACTATGGTCTACATTTCCAATGCTG